ACCCCCAGTCACCCCCAGTCACACCAGTCACCCCCAGTTTTGGTAACCCAACAGCCTAGAGGTTTGGACTGTGGGTCACATTTTTTTTTTCTATGAGTATTCATTTAAATATGAACTTTTAACTACTGGGCAGTAATTAATTCTGGATATCAGTAACTGAGTCTTTAAACCCCACAGGAATAGGTAAATCTGTAAGGCAGGAGAATATTTCGCTACTTATCCGAATAACAACTGTATCTTATTATCGCATGTTAATTTCTCATGGGCCAGAAACTTGTAGTAAGTAAATTGGGGGTAGCAGCATTGCCTTTGACTACACTATGGTATTTTGAAATGGAAATGTTACATTGTTAGCCATTCTCTTTACCTTTCACTTGACTTAATTGATGATACTCTAAAATATTTCTATCATTCACGTTTGCCCAGTGCATGAAGCAGGTCTTCACATGGACTCCAGAAGTAAGAGGTGAAAATGGCATTTTCTTTAAAGTGATGAGAAACTGACTGCCCTCTTTTGTCTACTTTGTGTTCCAAAATTATTTTGCCCTGCTGTGTCTGTACATGTCTTGCCTTGTTCAAGGATGTAATTCTAATTTCTTCTGGGAGCTCTAAATTTGGAGCCTATAATATCATGGTGGGTGAGATTCTGGATGCTACTTTTTCTGCCTGTCTTCTATTTATCTGGGTCCAGAACCTGGTGAAGGTAGATTGTCCTTTGTGACAGGTACGTCTGTCTAACCCCCTGGCCATGTTTGGCTGAGTAGCTCCCACCTCACTCAGCATTTGTTTGTGCTTCTGGACCCTTACTCCCAAAAAGCTTTATGGGGCATAGTGGAGTGGTTTCTCTTGTGATTTAAGAAGAAAATAAAATTAGCAAATGGCACATGTGTGCTTTCGTGCCAAGAATCCAAAGACCATGATAAAACGATGCAAGTTATGAGCAGATGTTATGTTCTTTTTTTGAGAAATTTTTGTTTGAGTATAGTTGACGCCAGATGTTATGCTCTTTTTTTTAGAGAGGGAGAGAGGGAGGGGGCTGGGAGGGACAGAAAGGGAGGGTGAGAGAGAGAATCTTAAGTAGGTTCCACCCTCAGCGCTGGGCATGGAGCCCGGTGGGGGTCTCCGTTCCACAACCCTGAGATCATGACCTGAGCCGAAATCAAGAGTCAGATGCTTATCAGACTGGGCCACCCAGGTGCCCCCCTCCCCCAGATGGTATGTTCTTATCAATGCCTCTACTGTAACATTTTTGTAAAGGAGCAGAAGAGGCACAAATCCCTCCCTCTTCCTTGCTTTACTGACTCCTCTTACACCACCATCCCTCAGAAATCCCATCATCAAGGAGGAGCGTTCAGATGCCCAGAGCCCCTGGACATGGTGGCTAAGGGTTGGACTTTACAGTGTAATGTGGTGCAGAAAAGACAAAAGACTTGAGTTCAAATCCTGCCTTTGCTGCTTTCTGGCTTGGTGTGCTTGGTTCTGTTACCTGTGTTCTCTGAATATCATAGGTAAATGGGAGTATATTACATTCCTCATAGTGTTCTGAGAATTAAATGAGAGCATGTACATAATAAGTTCCTTGATCCAGGAGAAAGACTTGGAGGGGTAGAGAAATACATAGAAAAAAACCCAGAGGTACCATAGAAGGCCCAGTGTCTACTCCAGTGTGAAATATGCACTCTTGGTGAACCTTGGTTTTCTCATCTGTAAAAAGGACAGTAGTGACTTTCTTATCTGCACCTCCCCCCCCATTGAGTGGATTAACGCTGCGGAGATAATGTGAGGGTATTTGTTACTACTAGGTGTAGATACTCCAAAATGGGATTCATCTCTATAGACCCTAGCCAAGGGAAGGTGTGGCCTGGAAATGTTACTTCTGCAAAGGAGTGCTTCCTTTCTTAGCCAAAATATTCTATTTACGTTAAAAAAAAGACTATTTTAAGGACATTTTTAATGTCCTTTAAAAAAATCTACTTCCAAGTATTCTTTCTTCACTCTATTTAGGTCTTTTACTTCTGTTATTTTTAGAGTTCCAATGGTCACACTGTTAGGGCATCTCAGATCATTTTATTTTTTACTCCGGCATTTTGACTGTTTCTGGTATTAGCCTTTTATTTAATTTATTTTTTACTGCAATATATTTAACAATAATGTTACGTAAGTTTAAGGGGTATAATATGTTGATTTGACAGGTAATCTCCTTTTAGCCTGAAGTCAGTAGAACTCATATCTTCTAAGATTTTCTAAGATCTACAATTCCCTCATTATTTGCTTTCAACTTTTCTAAAAGAGATTTCACTTTTTCTCTATCACTTCCTGTCTGTCAGGTTTTGTGATGATGTTGTGATCTAACAGACTTCAAATGGAAGAATAGCACATTTCAGACGTTGTGTGGTAGTATTTTGTTGGTTCCTCAAAGCATCCTTTCACCCACTTGTGAGAGACACCACCCCCCCGGCCTCCTTCTTTGCATCACATCACCCTCCTTTATGTTTACAGTGGTGGCCAACACACCCAGTGGGGATCAGGGGATGCAAGCTGCACACAGACTCTTTTCAGGGGCAGGATGACTGGGGAAGAGAGAAGGTTCAAAGCTGTGCACTGTTCCTCATGTCTTGCAGGCTGTTTTTGTGAAACCTGTGCTGGAGCTGATTTTCCTTCTATACCTCCAATAGCCCTTCCTTCTGTGGTGCTGCTGTTTGTTCTAGAATGTTGATGGGTATATTAGAAATGATGGGTGTGAGTGATAATGTGGGGGTGGGTAGAATGGATCAGCCGGTGGTGGCCACAAGAGGAAAAGGGCTTTGAAACCTGCTTGAGATCAGCCTAACCTTCTAGAAAATCTTGTACAGAACAAGCAGAGTTTTGGGAGGGCAGAGGAGCAGTGAGAGTGTGGTTGTTTTTATTCCGTTTATTATTTGAAAACAATTTATTCCAATTAGAAACATAAATTTCTATACCCCTTATGTTCATTTTCTCATTTTCTCCTCCATGATTTAGGTTCACGGTGATGCATCTTTCTGTGGTCAGGGGATTGTTCCTGAAACATTTACGCTGTCTAATCTCCCACATTTCAGAATTGGTGGGAGTGTCCATCTGATTGTCAATAACCAGCTGGGTTACACCACTCCTGCAGAAAGAGGAAGGTCTTCCTTATACTGCAGTGATATCGGTACGTGACACAGGGAGGCGGCCCTAGAGAAACATCTAGTTCACTTGGAAGAGTGAATCTCGCTGGTTATCCCATTTTAAATTTTGGATCGGATATGGTCAGTAATTACCAACAGTGTTATTAATATTCCTTTAAAAGTCTTGAGTGTGGGGGCACCTGGGTGGCTCAGTCGTTAAGCGTCTGCCTTTCGCTCAGGTCATGACCCCGGGGTCCTGGGATCGAGCCCCGCATGGGGCTCCCTGCTAGGTGGGGAGCCTGCTTCTCCCTCTCCCTGCTGCTCTCCCTGCTTGTGTTCCCTCTCTCTCTCTCTCTGACAAATAAATAAATAAAATCTTAAAAAAAAAAAAAAAGTCTGAGTGTGATCTTTGAATCCAAGGAAGTAAGACAAGAGCAGAACCGAGAGTGTGCCATCTCAAATTGTCCAAGTATCCAGTTGAATGATCTGGTGAAAACCAAAGATCAATATAGTTGGTAGAACACCAGGGTACTCGTCTTAGGAGATTCAGACCTGGCGTACCCAAAACCCTAGTCAAGAAGGATATATTCAATCAGTGAATTTGGCAAGTGGTCTTGGTTAGAAATCAGATGTGAGGAAGCAAAGTTGACTCATTTTACCCTGGAAATTGGGCAGAATTAAGAGAAAGGCAGGGCTTTTTTACCCATCATCCAGTTCATGAGTTACAAAAACTCTTAGGTGGTAGGAATTATTCCATTTTTGCACCCAGACCCTGGCCTGGATGCCTTTTGGGGCTATCTATGTGAATTTTCTTTTAAAGTTCATTTATTCTTTTTTTTTTTTTTAAGATTTTATTTATTTATTTATTTGACAGAGAGAGACACAGTGAGAGAGGGAACACAAGCAGGGACAGAGGGAGAGGGAGAAGCCAACTTCCCACGGAGCAGGGAGCCCAATGTGGGGCTCGATTCCAGGACCCTGGGATCATGATCCGAGCTGAAGGCAGGCGCTTAACGACTGAGCCACCCAGGCGCCCCTAAAGTTCATTTATTCTTTTTTTTTTTTAAAGATTTTATTTATTTATTTATTTGACAGAGAGAGACACAGCGAGAGAGGGAACACAAGCAGGGGGAGTGGGAGAGGGAGTAGCAGGCTTCCCACCGAGCAGGGAGCCCGATATGGGGCTCGATCCCAGGACCCCGGGATCATGACCTGAGCCGAAGGCAGACGCTTCACGACTGAGCCACCCAGGCACCCCAAGTTCATTTATTCTTAAGTAATCTCTATACCCAGTGTGAGGCTCGAACTCAGGACCCCAAGATCAAGAGTCCCTTGCTCCTCCGACTGAGCCAGCCAGAGGTCCCTATGAATTTTTTGTGATTAGTTTGATAGAGATACTGGGAACACATTCTAGGACTTCTCTTTGTTAACTCATGCAACCTTTACAACATTGCTAAGAGGTAGGAGCTATTATCTCAGTTTTATAGATAAGAAGACTGAGATTTATAACTTTACCAAGGTCACAGAGTAAGTTGCAGAGCTGGGACATGACCCCTTTCCTGTCAGCTGGACTCCAAAGTATGGGTTCTTAACAAACCAGCCAAATCACCTCTGAGTATGTGGGCTGCCTCCCCACACAGGCAACAGGACTTGGAGGTGGGCTAATGTCGTTTGGGGATAGCTGGCTGGTTTCATCTGTCTTCTCTGTTTCAGGGAAGCTTGTGGGCTGCGCCATCATCCATGTCAATGGAGACAGCCCAGAGGAAGTGGTCCGTGCCACACAGCTGGCTTTTGAATACCAGCGCCATTTCCGGAAGGATGTGATTGTTGATTTGTTATGCTACAGGCAGTGGGGCCACAACGAGCTTGACGAGCCCTTCTTCACCAACCCAGTCATGTACAGAATCATCAGGTACAATTTTAAACCTCCTTTGAAGATCCCCTCGTCCCCATAGTGCTCACATTATTTTTACTCTTTTTATTAGACACTCTGAGGTAGGGTGACCAACTCCCTGGGTTGCCGGGTACACAGAACTTCCAGTGCTAAAACTGGGACAGTCCTGAGCAAACTGGGATGGTCACCCTATGGGTCCCAGGAAAGCTCCCCATATTCTTCAACCTCTACTCGTTTGCTCATGGAATAAACAAAGGCAATTTACCAACCCCACTTGGCAGATGGGAAACCGAAGTAGGAGGACTTGGGCAGAGCCTGTAGCCTGAAGCTACTTAGTATACCATCGACAGGACCAGAAGCAGATCCTCCATGATTCACTTGGTGCCTCGGCAAGAGGTAATATGATGGATTATAAGGAATCTTGAGAACCATGCCATCCAATATGGAGGCCACTACCATACGTGGCTACTGAACACTTGAAATGTGGCCAGTCCTGCTGGAGAGGGGCTGTAAGTGTAATATACACACCAGATTCCAAAGACTTCATCTGACAAGAAAAATGTAAACTATCTCAATAGTTATTTTTATGTTGATAAAGTATTGAAGTTACCATATTCTGCATATATTGGGTTAAATAAATATGTTATTAAAATTAATTCCACCTATTTTTTTAAGCCTTTTCTAATGTGACCACTAAGAAATTTTTAATTACACATTGGCTCATACTACATTTCTGCTGGACAGCACTGGGATAGAAGAGTAATGTGACAGAGGAACGTGTTACTTTGGAATTTTTTTTTTTGATACTAGAGAGTACAACAGAGCCCCTTCCCCACCTTATTTCTTCATAGGTATAAATGAAAGCAGAGGAATAAATTGAGTGACATTTTACAGGTCTTTCTGGTCATAGGTAGCAGACTGCTCTCGGAAGAACAAGTCTGGGTTCTCTGTCTAGCTTTGAATGTAGATGCTGAGTGGCTTGGTGTGGCTCAGGGCCCCATTAAAAAAAATCTATCTGGTCTACCTCTCACTTTTGTCAGGACTAAATACGATAAAGTATGTGAGCAAACTTTGTAGTTTAAAGTATTACGTGAACATAGAGTGGCATTATTACTGTTGTAAAACTGAGATACTGATTATTATAGTTACTGGATTATTAAAGCCACCGGAAACAGATGTTGGTGACGTTGAGTTCAATACTTTTTGAAATAAAGGGGTAGACAACGTAGATCAGTCTTATAAGTAACTGTCCAGAATGTACCAATTCATAGAGAAACTCTACTAATTATTTCTACCTTGATGTAGCTGAAAGCTTATAAAGAGGAATTTGTTTTTTTCTTGCTTACTTGCAAGAGGTTGTTACTCCCCATTGCCTTAAACAAAAAATAAGGTATTGGAGTGAAAGTTACATAACATAAAATGGATCATTTTAAAATGAACAATTCAGAGGCATCTAGTACACTCAACAATGTTGTGCAACCACCCCCGCTGTCTAGTTCCAGAACGTGCCCTGTGTGCCTTCTTATGGTGATGATGCCCTGTGATACCTTTGACAATGACTGTGTCTGTCATTCTTCAATTGTTGCAAATCAGATGGACTTTTGTCCCCTGTTTCCTGGACAGAGCCCGAAAGAGCATCCCGGACACCTATGCAGAACACCTGATTGCCAACGGACTCATGACCCAGGAAGAGGTGTCGGAAATCAAATCCTCCTACTTCTCGAAGTTAAATAACCATTTAACCAACATGGCACAGTATAGCCCCCTGGCCACCAACCTGCAGGCCCACTGGCAGGGCCTGGTCCAGCCGCCAGCCTGCATTAGCACCTGGGACACGGGTGTGCCCCTCGACCTCCTGCGGTTTATTGGCGGGAAGTCTGTGGCGGTGCCAGAGGACCTCCAGATGCACAGTCACCTTCTGAAGATGTACGTTCAGGTAGGGAGCCTCACGATTTCCAGTGACTGTCTCGTGCAGCACAGAAATCGGCACTGATCTGGTCTTTTCGGTTGGCTAACGAATTTGAGAGTTACTGATTGTGGGTCGCCAGGTTCTGGGAGCCCATCCTGGTGAACTCCGATTTGTCCCCTTCTCCTTTTTTCTTTCTTCTTCCCTTCCTACACACACATGGTTTGGTCCTGAGAGTCATTGCAGATTTGGTCTACTTCTCATTTCCCTCCATTTATTTATTTATTCATACATGTTTAATACATCACATGCATGTGGACTGCGTGCCCATTATCATAGATACGGCGGCACAGGAATGCCTGTTTTGATTTTTCTGACCAGTGAGCAGAAAACACTTTCATTTTGGGGGGTAGCTTAAATAAAAATGAATAGAAGTCAACACGCATACCCCAAAGGCGACTGTTTAGACCCTTACGCAGGTCTCAGGTTTACATATTGTCTCAGGTTAAATACAGATTGAAGTCTTGGTTTGCCTGCGCCTTGGAGTTTCCTAGAACGTGGGACTCTCCATGCTGAAAGTGGGGGAGCAAGGAGCCAAAGGCCTTCGCCTTTCTTAAACTTGAATGGAGGCACTGTCCTCTGGATGATTTTTGTAATCCTAATTTCCTTTTTAGGTTACTATTGTCTGTAAAGAGACTTTATTTTTTAAGATTTATTTATTTGAGGTGGGAGGGGAAGGGAAGAGGGAGAGAATGTCCAAGGAGACTCCCGCTGAGCAGGGAGCCCCTCGAGGGGCTCGATCTCATGACCCATGAGATCATAGCCTGAGCCAAATCCAAAAGTTGGATGCTTAACCGACTGAGCCACCCAGGCGCCCCAGGCATAGAGACTCTTAAAACAATCTTAAAACAATCTATGTACTTACCATCCAGCTGAAGAATTAGAATATTAGACATAGTTTCCCTCGTGCCCTCCCTGGCACCATCTCCTCTCCTTCATGCACAGGTTAACCACTAACCGAAGCGCCTGCTTGTTTTGCCTGGTTGAAAACCTAGAACTGCTATCATCCTCTTACGTTTCCTTCTGCACTTACTCTTTTACTTAACATTGTGCTTTTGATACTTACTGTTGTTGCATTACATTTTTTGGACTCAGTGTGAAAAAGGGGGTAGACTCTTAAAAGTGTCTTTTTTTTTTTCCTCCCCTTCCATTTTTTGCAGTCCAGACTGGAGAAAGTGATGGATGGAACAAAGTTAGACTGGGCCACGGCAGAAGCTCTTGCCTTGGGCTCATTACTTGCTCAGGGTAAGAAGTTTCTGGTTAGCTGCACAGCTGGTAGGGAGTGCTTTGTATGACATTTGTTATATGTGACCCCTGAGGTTTTGAATTAGAACTATCTCCTGTCATTTTCATCGACTAGAGAGGTTCTAAACTTTTCGACAATATAATTTGATCTTAGTATAAGTCATGTTGGTAACCTTCATCAGAGAATAAATGGCAGAACGTTTCTTGCTGGGAAACCAAAGGGCTCTGTGCCGGATGAGTTGGAAAGATATTTTCCTCTAAAGATTGTAGAGTGGCTGATGACTCTCCACTCTTATATATTCTCACCTTACACAGACTTTTGAATATAGGAGAGGTTTATTTTAATAAGGATAATCTCTTTGCTAAGGAAAATTTTCAGGATGAGCTGATGTGTAAGAATTCAGAGTCACCATGCCTTGTTAATACTTAAGTTATTCATGGGAATCTGGATTTTTCTTTTTTCCTACCTGTTTGCTTAAGGTTTTGATGTGCGTCTGAGTGGGCAAGATGTTGGCCGTGGAACTTTTAGTCAGAGGCACGCAATGGTTGTTTGCCAGAAGACCGATGACACCTATATCCCTCTGAACCATATGGACCCTAATCAGAAGGGGTTTCTAGAGGTAGAATGTCTTTTTAATTTATTGCAAAACCCAGGTGCCAATAATTATAGTTACAGGATTCTTAAAGCAACTAGAAGCAGATGTTAGCAACTTTGAGTTCAATTTTTTTTTAAATTAGTATAATTAACATGGTGTTATATTAGTTTCAGATATACAATATAGTGATTCAACATTTCCATACATCACCTGGTGTACTCTTAATCCCTTCATGTATTTCACCCATCCCCCCATCCCTCCATCCCCCCATCTACCTATCCCCACCTCCCCTCTGGTCATGACCAGTTTGTTCTCTGAGTCTGGTTTGTTGTCTCTTTTTCTTTTCATTCATTTTGTTCATTTCTTAAATTCCATACATGAGTGAAGTCATATGGTATTTATCTTTTTCTGACTGACTTATTTCACCTAGCATTATACCATCTAGATATTACTCAGCCATAAAAAAAAATGAAATCTTGCCATTAGCAACATGGGTTCAATCCTTTTTGAAATAAAGGGTGCTGAATGGGTGGAGAATGGAGATCTATACACTTGGGATGGAAGGAGCATACTAGTGAGTAGACTAGAGCTGTTACTCCATCTACTTATCTGTAGTCTTGTAAATGTCAGAAGGATGTTCATTTTGTCAATCCAGAAGTGACGTTGTAATCTGTGTGTTGCTGAATTCATTAAAGGAAGCCAAAGATGTGGATAATAAGTCAGCATTTCTTGCCTATTAAAAAAAATAAAAAAGCCCTAGAGCACTTGGTTGGCTCAGTCAGTAGAGCGTGAAACTCTTGATCTTTGGGTCATGTGTTCAAGCACCATAGTGGGCATAGAGCTTATTTTTTAAAAAATGCCCAGCTTTCTCAAGGTTACCTTATTTTCTAAGGTTTAGTGGGCTTGACAAATATATCTTTTACCATATACTTCTATGTGCTAGTCACTGAGCTCTAGTCATTAGAGTCAAAGGCAGGGGCTGGGTCTTTTCATTTTTATCTCTCTAATAGCGAGCGTAGTGCTGGGCACATGATGTTTGTTAAATTAACCTTCAAGGTATGCTTAGTGTCATGTAATCTTTCTTCCTATTCTAGTCATTTGTTTGAGTATAATCTTGAGTTTACTGATACTCAATATTTAAACAAATTAGCTTGTCAAAAGCAAGATTCCAGAACAATTACTTAAAAGGACATGAAGCTCATCTTTTCTTTGCATTAGTCTGAAATCTACCCCGGATCAAGTCAGATTGGGGATCTAGATACTGAAATGTGAAGTATCCTGCCACCCCCATGTCCTTCTCTGAATTGTGACTTGATACATAGTATCAGTTCATTTTGACTATTACTATTTAGAAAGCCCAAAGTAAATGCCTTGCATCTATTAAGAGGATGCTGTCAAAGATTTCATTAATTATCTAATAGCATGTCCTTTATATGAAGACCCTGGGAGGAACTCCTTGCTCGTGGTCCTGAGAGTGGTTGCAGCTCACTGAGCAGTGGTTTGTCTTGTATATGCACCGTGAGTTCTGCAACCGTGTGGCATTCCCCAGTCAGCACTGGCTCCCAGGAAGGGGTGAAGGCCATGGTACCCTTGGTGTCTGTAGGTCACCAGGTTGTCTGTCCCCTCTGTTCTGTGTCTCAATCTTTATCTTTTTTCTCTCTACTTACATTTACATTATCACATTGTATATTATGTATATCATGAGCCACCTCAAGTGCATTTCGGAATAAATAAAAGCATTAATAAATCCAAGACATGAAGGTAGATATGCGTATACAAGTTTATAAAGTACATTGAATGTATAGGTGAAGGTGCAGCAAGTCTACTTGGGAAATCAGGAGAAGCTTGGGAGAGGAAGGCAGATTTGAGCTGGGGCTGGTGGGACATGAGGAGTTGCCTAGTCTGATGCATGCAGGGAGGACATTCCAGGTGGGCACAATCGTACACACAAAACCTGTGAAGTGAGAGGACAGGAACTCCAAATAGCTTCATGTGACTGGAGATTCAGCTGCAAAGTGGGTACAGGGGCAAGGAAGAGGAGACTGGCCAGACTCCCCACATTGTGAAAGACTTGGAATGCAACGGAAGCTGGAAACCTTGGAGGAATTTTGAACAGGTGATCAGGTTTTTGTATCAGAAAGAGCCCTCCTGATGGTACTTGGGAAGCTGAAGATGGATGAGAATTTTGGACAGTTTCTCTGTCCCAGCTTTACTGAGGTAAGGACAATTTCTAAGGAGGCTTCTCAGTTGTCTAGGCAGAAAATCGCAGGGACCTGAATTAGGGCAGTAGCAGTGCAGACGGAATATGGGGCAGATTTGAGAAGAGCTATAGGACTTAGTGGTAGATGTAGGGAGTGGAGAAGAAAGACTAGTCTTGCTTATCTCCTGCTTCCTGACTCGGACATTTGCTATATGATGGTGGCATTCACCGAAATATAGAGTAAAGAGAGGGAACGGGTTTGGTAAGGAAAGATGATGGATTCAGTTTTGGACATTTGCCTTTGAGGTGGCTGAAGAACATAGAAGTTTTTGTCCATTACAGAAAGGCAATTAGATACGTATGTCTGGAGTTAAAGAAGGAATCTAGTCTTGAGATACACGTTTGGACATCATCAGGGTGTAGAAATGTTTGAAACCACAGGGTGGGATTATCTCCCTGGGAGAGAGCAGAACAGGAAGAGGGCCAAGGGATAGGGTCTTGGGAAAAACAGTTTTTAAGGTGCTGGCAGAGGAAAAGTATTTCCCAAAAGAGCATTCAGAAAGGCAGGAGGAGAACTGGGAGTCGCTGTGTCATGAACTGAAGGAGGGAGAAGTCATAGATGAGAAAGAACAGCATGGCCATTGGATTTAGCAACTGGAAGGTCAAGGGTCGACCTCACATAGAGCTGTTTTCATGGAGCGGTGAGAACAGAAGCTGGATTGCACTAGCTTGATGGGTAAACAGGAGTTACAGAACTGGAGACAAGTGGATTAGATAATTCTTCTAGAAGCTTAACTGTGAAAGGAAGCTACAGCTGTAGAGCATGGGTCAGGGGAATGTTTCTCGTTGCATTTTTGAGCTATTGATTTCTATCTGCTGTGAGGGGAAAGCCAGTGAGGAGGGGTTCAGAAAACAGGCATTAGGTGGATTTAGAACATGGGTGGGTATATCAGCTTCAGGTAGGAAGACAGATGAGGAGGTGAGGACAGACAGAAGGTGTGGGTTCCAGTCTAAACCCCATTTACAATGCACTCGGGAATCTGAGAAATGTAGCTGTCTTCTAAAATTAATGTAACATACAAATTATAACTGAAATCAAAAGAGAAATCAGAAAAGACAAATTATACACAATCCTAACCATGGTAATAAATCATCTATTTTTATTTTTCTATATTGTCATTGAGTAACTTAACCATATAAATCACAAATTTTTATACTTGTAGTCATAGTGGAGATGTAGTTTTTTCACAGAGTTTTTTGTTTGTTTTGTTTTGTTTTTAGAGAGATAGTGTGCACATCTGCCCTCTCAGGGTAAGGGGCAGAGGGAGAGGGACAGAGATAATCTCAAGCAGACTCCCTGTTAGGCGCGGAGCCTGGCCCGGGGCTAGATCTTACGACCCTGAGATCATGAGCTGAGCTGAAACCAAGAGTAGAACGCTTAACTGACTGAGCCTCCTAGGCACCTCAAGAGTTTTTTTATAAATAAAAGATTTATTGAGATACAACTTTCTGAATTCAGTCTTTCAATGTATACAATTCAGTGGTTTTTAGTATATTCACAGAGCGCTGCAAATATCACCACTATCTAGTCTCGGAACATTTTCATCACCCCCAGAAAGAAATCCCATACCCAGGAGGAGTCTCCCATGCCTTCCTCCACTCTGCCGCTGACAACCGTTAATCTACTTTCTCTTTCTATTGATTTGCCTATTTTGGACTTTTCGTACAGACAGAATCGTATAAATAAGCAGCCTTTTGTGACTGGCTTCTTTCTCTTAGCATCATGTTTTCAGGGCTCATCCAAGTGGTACCTGTCACTACCTCATTCCTTTTTATTGCCAGCTAATATTCTATAAATACATGACTTACAAATATCTTTTAGAAACATTTTGAAACAAAGACGAAATTGCAAAAAAGTTCGATGTACAATACAAAAGGAACTCTTTCTCCTTCTGAAACATTTGAGACACCAAGTTGGAAATACCAGGTTGCTCACCTCCTGCCCTGAATGCATGTTTCCGCAAACAAGGACCTTTTCCTCCACCACGCAGTACAACCATCCACGTCAGGAAATGAACCTTGAAATGTGACTACCATCTCATCCTCCAACCCCATTCAGAATCATGTTGTGTTTATTTCTATTTATTTTTTATTTTATCTTTTTTTTAAAGATTTTATTTATTTATTTGACAGAGAGAGACACAGTGAGAGAGGGAACACGAGCAGGGGGAATGGGAGAGGGAGAAGCAGGCTTCCCTCTGAGCAAGAAGCCCGATGCAGGGCTCGATCCCAGGACCCTGGGATCACGACCCGAGCTGAAGGCAGACGTTTAATGACTGAGCCACCCAGGCACCCCTCTTTTTTTTTTTTTTTGATTGAAGTAGAGTGATGCACAATGTTGTATTAGTTTCAGGTGTACAACACCATGATGTGCTCACAAGTCTAGCTACCATCTGTCACCTTACGCTGTTCCACTACCATTGACAATATTCCCTGTGCTGTACCTTTCACCCCGTGACTTATTCATTCCATCACTGGAAGCCTGGACTTCCCAGTCTCTCTTCCATCCACTTTGCCCATCCCCCCCCTCCCCTGGCGATCACCAATTCGTTCTCTGTATTTATGGGTCTGTTTCTGCTTTTGTTTGTTTTTTCGTTTCTCTTGTTTTTTTAGATTCCACATACAAATGAAATCATATGGTATTTGTCTTTCTCTGTGTGACTTATTTCACTTAGCATGGTACCCTTAGATCCACTCATGTTATCCTCTGAGTAGAATTGTGTTGCATTTAATTGTCCTGTCTTTTTTGCCTCCTCAGAGATCTAATTTTATGTTCTGTTTTTCTTTTTTATCTTAACATGTCGTGATGGTTCTTTTGCTTTATTGTGCAGATAGGATATTAGAATAGTGGATTCTAACCAAAGGTAGGCTTACTTTTGGTAACTTCCCCCGACTTTGTTTTGTGATACATTTTTTTAAAGCTTGTATGACACAGTTTTACTCTCAGCAATAAAGATAGGTTATCTGAGAAGTTAATTTTGTTTATCATTTTAAAAATTTTTAAATAACTTTTTATTTTTTATTTTTTTAAGTAGGCCCCAATATGGGGCTTGAACTCACAACCCTGAACTCAAGACCCAAGCTGAGATTAAGAGTTGGATGCTTAACCAACTGAGCCACCCAGGCACCCCTAATTTTGCTTATCTTTAAAGAAAATCATTAATGCCCATATTCCATTCTTTCCCCTCCTTCTCTCTTTGTGCCAACGTTCCCCAAATGCGTCATTCACAGAGAGCAGATCTCCTTTCTCAAAGAAATGCGGAGATGAAAGGAAAGAAAGCTCCCCTCTGTGCCCCTCCTCCCTTTTGAGAGGTTTGTGATGCTTTACTGATTCTTGTCTCACCTTTCCCTGCATGACAGTGTTTCTGTTCTCTTCCTTTGCATCAGGTCAGCAACAGCCCGTTGTCAGAAGAAGCTGTCCTGGGGTTTGAATATGGAATGAGCATTGAAAGCCCCAAGTTACTGCCCCTCTGGGAGGCTCAGTTTGGTGATTTCTTCAATGGTGCTCAGATCATTTTTGACACGTTCATCTCTGGAGGTTGGTGTTGGCATGTGCATGTGGGGCACAGCCTTAGCCCCTTGGGGACAAATGAATGGACAGGGCCATAGCTGCTTATGAGATGCTGTAGCACAGCCCCTCAGGAGAGTTTGGGGGCTGCCCTGCCATCTTTTGGGGCCTGGCAGCTATGGGATGGTTAACGAACGCTGCCAGAGGGCTGGGGGCCACTCTGACTGTAGGCAGCACCTTCTCCAGGGGAGTGTGCTTGGCTGTAGGGAGCAGGGCATGTACCCACCAGCTCCTAGGCAATGGACTTTCGGGTCTGCGCTTGGGGCATGTTGAGCAGCTGTGACATGAATACCAAGCACGCAATGGAGACATTAGTGAGGATTTGTGGTCAGCGAATGGCGGCCTTGAAAATCCATTTCCCTCAACCCAGGGATATTCAAGTATCTGAAAGCTGGTAGTTGTGCATCTTTATTGTTTTTAATCATCATTTACAAAAGCAGAACCTGCTTATTGTAAAATTCAAAGGTACGTAGTAAAGTACAAGTGTGAGTCCCTGTCACCCCATTCTCTGGGGGAACCACGCTTGGAATTTGTACACTTCAGGCCTCCCTTTGCTGTGTTTCCCTGTAACCTTGTACTTGTAAGGAAGGAAAAGTGCCAGGATGCCTGGGTGGCTCAGTCGGTTAAGTGTCTGCCTTCAGCTCAGGTCATGATCCCAGGGTCCTGGGATTGAGTCCTGCATCGGGCTCCCTGCTCAGTGGGGAGCCTGCTTCTCCTTCTGCCTGCCGCTCTCCCTGCTTGTGCTCTCTCTCTCACACTTGCTCTTTCTGACAAATAAATAAATAAGAACTTAAAAAAAAAAAAGGGAAGAAAAGTGCCTTGAGGAGACTGGGCTTTGACATGTCTCCAGAGGCTGTCCTCAAGTGCCTGCTCCCTCAGGCTGAGGACGGTGACCTGTGTTGTAAGTGGTGCCATGAGGAAAGGCAAGAGCCACCTGGAATCAGAGACACATGCTGTCCTTGAAACTGGGACATTCCCCTTTTAATTTGTCTTCATCTGCTAAAGCCCGTTCAGTGAACATGTCCTGTAGGGTTTCTGCCAGTAGGGTGGATATTTTCCTCTGAAGCATGTAACACTGCTGGAAAGTGCATGGAATGGAAATGATTTTAGGGGATCAGACAGCAAACTCAATTTGTTTCACTACCCAAGTCACATCAGGCTGTTCTGTTCCTGCTTCAGAGAGTTCTTACTCCCTGTCATGTGGTTTTCCAGGGGAGGCCAAGTGGCTCCTACAGAGTGGCATCGTTATTCTCCTTCCCCACGGGTACGACGGGGCTGGACCCGACCACTCCTCTTGCCGCATAGAGCGGTTCCTGCAGGTATGTCCCATGCCTTCTGGATTCCAAGAAATGCTTCCTGCTTCCGAGGTGCTTTGAAATAGAGCTACCTCCTGTAGATACTTCATGCACACCTCAAACTGTAACACCTTGGAGTATTTGAGACACAGATTTAATGCAACGTCAATATTCCTTATCAGCGTGATATCTGGGTACACCAGCGTCGTGGTTTTATGGCCATTAACGTGGTTCTTGTATGGCAAAGGTCGGGGTTCCCAAACCAGGCTGATCATCAGAATCACCTGTGGAGCTTTTTGTAAATAGAGATACAGGGACCAACACCAGATCAGATTCTTCGGGGTGGGGCCTAGGAATCTGTATTTTTACCTAAAATTTTTTTCAAGTAGTGATAGTATTTTTATAAAATGATTCATGATCATTAAAAAAAAAACTTAAGTAACCACCCAGAAATATCCACAGTTATTCGTTGGTAAGGATCATTAACCTACGTCTTTTTATGCATATGGCTTCCTAATATTTTATTATGAAAATTTTCAAACATACAGAAAAGTTGTAAGATTTTCCAGTGAACATTCATATGCCGACCCCTTAGATTCTACCATTAATATTTTATTATACTACACTTGTTTTATCACATCTACTCATTATCATCCTTCTATCTATAAACCTGTAGTATCTTCTGATGTATTTCAGAGTAAATGGAGATACCTGTACACATCACCTTAGTATGTGAATATCATTAGTGATTTTGGCATATGTGCAGATAAAACATACAACTAGATGACAGATCAGTAGAAAGGTAGATAGAACAGTAGATAGACAGATGGACAATTATATTGATAGGTAAAAATACAGAAAAATGATTTTATAAAAATTAGAATACAGAAATAAATTGCAGGCAAATTAAAGACTATGTGTGATGCAAACACAAAACTACAGTTTGGGGAAGAAATACAGGATCCATACATATCTATGCAGAAGATGCGGTTTGGGAGTTATCAGTATACAGATGTCTTTCCCTTAGGACAGCCCAGGTCATTATGATTGAATGCGATAACCTGAACATTTGCTCCTTTCTTCCATTTCTCCCTCAGATGTGTGACAGTGTTGAAGAGGGGGTAGATGGAGACACAGTGAACATGTTCGTGGTGCACCCGACTACTCCTGCACAGTATTTCCACTTGCTCAGGAGACAGATGGTCCGGAACTTCCGAAAACCCCTCATCGTTGCTTCTCCGAAGATGTTACTCAGGTTCCCTGTAAGTAGAAAAAGCTAGTTAGGAAGCTTTTCTCCTTTTGTCATTTTTAAAAATTTTTATTTAGGGGCACCTGGGTGGCCCAGTCGTTGAGCATCTGCCTTCGGCTCAGGTCATGATCCCAGGGTCCTGGGATCGAGCCCTGCATTAGGCTCCCTGCTCAGCAGGAAGCCTGCTTCTCCCTCTCCCACTCCCCCTGCTTGTGTTCCCTCTCTTGCTGTGTCTCTCTCTGTCAAAT